GGGGGGGGGGGGGGGGGGGGGGGGGGGGGGGGGGGGGGGGGGAGCCCCGCCCACTTCACCCTTGGGGCTGGGAGGGGCCTGAAAGGGGCTTCCCGACCCCTTCCTGGAGGGTGGCCTGCCTTCTGCGTCGCTCCCCAAGTGCTGCCCGGGGCATTCTGTGCAGGCCAAGGCCACACCGCTTTTAGAAAATTCAGCACGAGGAAGGAAAACCCGAGCAGAGCTGCGTGCGAAGCCAGCCCAGAGGCATAAGTAGCACGACCAAAAGGATACATTACGTCTATTGTTGTGGGTAGAGAGCCAGTGCCTTGTAAAACTACATAAAAATAAAAATAGCGTGTCCTCGTCTGTGGGTGTGGCTTTGCACAGTGTCTGTCCTGTACTACGTTGACTTGGCTGCCTCTGTGATTAGGGTTAGATTATCCGGAGGTTTTGGGGGGTGGTTTTTTTGTTATTTAATTCAATTCGGACACTAACTGCCTGGACTTAGTGGCAGATCGCACGAGGCCCTCGAGGCCGGCCCCCATTCGGACACCGGTCACGGCGCGGGGTCCCCGGGTAACCCACACCTCTGTCTGCCTTGGCCGCAGGCGGCAAGGCAGTTCCCAGGGCCGCTCCTCGGGTCTGAGAATTTGCTGTAACAGCCCAAGAGCTCAGGGAGACACTTTTCTTACTATCCCAATTTATTATAAAGGACACAGATGGACAGCCAGAGGAAGTACATTGCGGAGGGAGGGGGGGTTCAGCAGGGCCCTTTATAGATCCCTGCACCACTAGCTGAAACTCTTCCACGGTTGGCCGAAAGCCAGCGGGGATGCAGCTTGAAACCACAATAGACAGGGGCGCCTGGGGGGCTCAGTGGATTAAGCATCCGACTTCAATTCAGGTCACGATCTCACGGTTCATGGGTTCGAGCCCCGCGTCGGGTTCTGTGCTGACAGCTCGGAGCCCGGAGCCTGCTTCGGATTCTGCATCTCCCTCTCTCTCTCTCTGCCCCTCCCCTGCTCGCACTCTGTCTCCCAAAAATGTATAAAAACATTACATTATAAAAAAAAAACAACAAAACCCGCCACAGACAAATTATCGTATGAGCCACGTTGGAATACTGGTCTAAGGAATTGAAGGTGGAACTTTCATCTAAGAGAAAAATGGCGCCCAGGGAATCGGTTTGGGGAACATACAACACGGAGCATTGTCTGTGTATCTTTTTCAGTGAGGCGTCTGTCCAGGTCTTTTGCCCATCTTTTAATTGGGCTGTTCATTTTCTTACTGCTGAGTTTTTAGAGTTCTTCGTGTATTTTGGATGACAGTCCTTTATCAGATGTGTCCTTTGCAAAGATTTTCTCCCGGTCAGTGGCTTGTCTTCTCATTCGCTCAATAGTGGCCTTTGCCGAGCAGGAGTCTTACATTTTAACGAAGTCCCAGCTCATCACTTATTATTATTTCTTTATGGATCATGACTTTGGTGTTGTATCTAAAAAGTCATCGCCATACTCAAAGTCATCTAGATTTTCGACGTTATCTAATAGCTTTCCAGTTTTGCGTTTCACATTCATGTGTAGGGTCTGCTTCAGGCTAATTTTTGTGACGAGTGGAAGATCTGTGTCTAGATTCTTTCTTTGCATGTGGACGTCCAGCTGTTCCACCAGCATTTCTTGAAAAGACTGTCTTTTCTCCATCATGTTGCCTTTGCTTCTTTGTCAAAGAGCAGTTAACAGTATATAGGTGGGTCTATTTCTGGGCTCTCTATTCTATCCCATCGGTCTACTTTCTTTTGCCGACACCACACTGTCCCGAGCACCGTAGCTTTGTGGTAAATCTTGAAGTCAGGGAGTGTCAGTCCTTCAGCTTTGTTCTTTTCCTTGAATATTGTGTTGGATATTTCCTTTTTCCATGTTATTGGGTTTGATTTGCTAATGTTTTGTTGAGGATTTTACGTCTATGTTTATGAGGGATCCTGGTCTGTAGTTTTCTTGTAATGCCTCTGGTTTTGGTGTTAGGGTAATACCAGCCTCATAGAATGAGTTAGGATGTATTTCCTCTGCTCCTATCTCTGGGAAGAGATTGTAAAGAGTTGGAATAATTTTTTCTTTAAATGTTTGGTAGAATTCACTTGTGAACATATTAGGGCCCTAAATACGTGTATTTCAGTAGCTTAAAAAAACCGAACTTTTCATTTCGAGGTAATTGTAGATTCACAGGTATTTGTAAGAAATGATGCAGACAGATGCCGGGCATCCTTTGTCAAGTTTTCCCTAACGGTAACATCTTGCAGGATATCACGACCAGGGTACTGACATGGGCACAGTCAAGATACAGAGCGTTTCCACCTCCTCGAGGGTCCCCAGGTCACCCTTTAGAGCCACGCCCGTTGTCCCCCTCTCCCCCACCCCCTTTCTACCCCATTTCAGGAACGCTATATAAATGGGGTCATATAGTATGTAACTTTCTAGGATTCGGTTTCACTCGGAAGAGTTCTCTGGAGATTCATCTGGGTCGGTGCACGTCTCAGCAGCCTGTTACTTTTTCTTGCCGAGGGTTGGGTGTGTGGTGTGGATGGATGGGGGTTTAACCGTTCGCCCACTGAGGGGCATCTGGGCTGCTTCCGGCTTTTTGCTGTGATGAGTAAAGCTACCGCGAACGCCTGTGCGGGCTGTGTGCAAGTCTCGTGTGAAGGTGAGTTTTCCCTCGTCTGGATGAAATGCACAGGAGTGTCCTTGCCGGGCTGACTGGTAGCCACGTGTTTCCTTTGTAGAGAAACTGCCGAGGCGTCTTCCACAGTGGCTGTACCATTTCACGGTCCCGCC